TGAAATTGGTCGGACACCACGGGTTCAATTCCTGTGGGGTCCATTTTATTCTGGGGCATCGGTTAGGCCCGGTTAGGGCGGTCTTGACCGGTTATTAACCGGTTTGACCGTGACCCGGTCTGACCGGTTAGTGGTCGGTTATTGGCAGTTATTGATATTTCCCTTTTGCCATAACTGTTGACCGTGACCGGTTACTAACTGTAACCACAGTCATTTTGTATAGCGGTTATGTACGGTCAGGTTAGGTTTGGTTAACAGTCTTTGAACGGTTATAAGACCTGACTTTCAAACGCTAACAATGAAGCACCCCGAGCGCGCAGGCTCCTCGCGTGGATCAGCAGAGCCCACCTGATCCAGCTTCATCGCCCAAACATCCGGGTCGTTCGGGTCGACAGTTGGAGGCGCTTGATCGCCGGGGTCAGAGCCCTCGGGCTTCTGAGGCGGGTGTACGACCGTGTCGTTCGCTGGGTCGGTTGTGACCTCAGAGTCGGCATCGCCAAGCCTGCCAGTCGGCATGCCGGTCAGCTTCCAGAGAATCTCGAGACGAGCACCGAGACTGTTGCTACAGGACGAATCAGCTTAGAACAATGAAAGAAGTATGGCTTGCATGTACCTTGGGAACGCATGCGCGCCGTACATCTTGACTTCGCCGACGTAGCCTTGATTGACGCTTGGGTCGATGGTAAAGGGAGCAAACTGGGGGAGTATAGTAGAGACCTCAACGAGTCACCGAGTCACCGAGTCATCTGGTGACTCGACTCGCTTCGGGCACGTCGGCGTTCGCACTCGTGTGACTCATGAGTCACATACTCGCGAGTCCGAGCACGAGTCTGAGTATCGATTTTCAGACCGCGAGTCATCATACGATGACTCGCAAATATTTAGATCTATATTTAAACTAAATTTACGAATTTTTTGCAGAGCAAATGGTCCGCAACGTCTCGAGAATGAGACGTGTGCGATTATCCTGCCCGATCCGGCGATCCGGGCCAAGTCCCGAAGCGACGCGTCAGCGTCTGATCGAGTGGTCTCTCTCTGTTCTGACGACCACCACGACCACCTGGGGAGCGACGATTGTCGCCCCCGCTGCTCTGACGATTGTCAGGCAGCCGTTGGGGTGTGTCTCTGGCTTTGGCTCTGTGCTGAGCCTTCTGCTGCCGTCTCTGCTGCTGTCTCTGCGACGGCAGCAGGGCACACGACGACTGGACCGTGATCTGGAGTCCTGGACGACGACCCAGATGAAGACGACGACTACAACGATGACTGGATTGCGGCGATGACGCCACGATGAGGAGGAGGACGCGATGCGGTGAGGAGGCAGAGGAGGAGGATGCGATGTGATAAGGTGGATGGATACATCAACGACGACGACGACAACCACCACCACCACTCCCCTCACCACCACCACCCCTCACCATCACCATCATCACCACCCCATCCTCATGCCCAACTGACTGTCCCCGTGCCATTGCCCGGGGATGCTCGCTGTGCATGACTACGGGGGGTGCATAGACTCGCGAGTACTCGTGAGTATCCGAGATGACTCGGACTCATGGTGAGTACTCACGAGTAGACTCGCGACGACTCGCGAGTCATCGCGAGTCGAGTCTGATGCGAGTCTGAACTAGACTGATTTTTGCGTGAGTACTCACGTCCCGAGTCGCGAGTCTGACTCGCAAATGACTCGTTGAGGTCTCTAGAGTATAGTATTAGATGACAGACGAAGAATAGCAGCTTATCAATACTTACACGCTCTCTTTCGGCACTGTCGTATAGCGTCGCACGCCATTCCTTGGGCGGGTCCGGCGGCAAGAGGTTGAGAGCAGTGACCGTCATGGTCAAGCCCTTCGGGATGCCAGTGACATAGAGCTGCTGTTTAATCGTGCCGACCATGTTCAACTGCGAGGGTGGAAGATGACGATTACAGAAGCTTGAGGTGCACTTTTATACGTGGTAGGAAATCCCATATTGTCGAGTAAAGTTAGAGGGAGGCACGAGTGTCTACCCGGGTGCATCTGCCACCCGGGAGGCAAGTACTCGTACCAGAAAAGCTATACTTGGCACCCGTGACAATACTTGCCACCCGCGGGTACTTGACCCGCGGGTGAAGTACTTGCCAAGTACTTGCCCGCGGGTGGTGCAAGTACTTGCCAAGTCCCTCCCTACAGCCTGCACATTTTTCATGCCCGCCGACGACCCCCGAGCAATTGCGCGGGGGCCATCGACGTGCATGATGTATAAGGATGCGGCGTGCGGGGTAGGGACATGAGGTGGGGATGGCGCGAGGGGGTAGGGATGGGGCGCGGACTAAATAAAAATAGAAAAAACGTACTATTCGGGGCTGGATGCGTCCGCGACGCCCTCCAGCCCAAAGGAAAACTCGAGCACGACGACGCGGGGGCTATCCCAGCCTCTTGAAGCCCGTCCTTATCGTCCTGAAGTGCTGCTCCTCGTCCAGGAGGCTTATGCGTCGTCCTGAGGCTTGTACGCCGTGTCCTTCTTAAAACGGCGCCATCGTGGAGACGAGTGCCGCTGCGAACCCGCGCTCGCTGTCCAATAGTTGGGCGGCCTCGTCGCGAGGGCTTACGCCGTCCAGATCCTTGTGGAGGAGTGCTGTCATGAAGACATGCACAAAAGATCGCCCCGGAACACATCCGAGGGCGCAGCGACTGGCGCGAAGCCAAACCGCACAGCAAAAGCAGAGCAGAACAAAGAAAACAAGTTAGATAAGCCCCAGAAGAAGTTCTGGGGCCGACGAGCACGACGATAATGTCGTGCTGTGGTGGGAAGAGGAGAGAGATCGTGATCAGAGGTGGCCGATCGTTATCCGGCAATTGCCGGGACGGTCGGCCAGCTCGGCGATCACCGAAATTCGTCGGCAACATCATTTCTCAACGATGTTGAGCTCGTTTGGGCTCAAATAAAATTGAATAAATTCCCAAAAAATCATATTTACCTACCTTCAGGTACTAGGCAAGTACTTGCCTCAGCAAAGCCATACTTGCCATCTGTGTCACCACCCGTGGGAAACAGATACTTGCCATCCGGGTGCCGGGTGCGGCACCACCCGGGTGACGTCAATACTTGCAAGTACCTGCAAGTACTTACCACTCGTGCCTTGCTCTAAGTAAAGTGTCTCTATTTTGAGACCACGAAGTCACGCTCCCCGTCACCAGCCCACGATGATACTGTAGTATTACTACCATAGGTTCGTGTCACAGGTCACGAGCCCTCATGATGTGAACCTAATTGTAGTTGGTCACTAGGTCACAAGGCTCTGTGAACATGTCTAAAATTGGTCACAAATCTGACTTGATTTAAATTTTGCTTCTGCGGCCCAATTTCAGTAGTTTTTTCTTCCATTTTGCTCTATTTAGGATGAAAATTGTCTATTTCTGCTGTTTGTATCTACTTTATAGGTAAAATTAAGCAAAAAAAGCAGAAAGTTAAAAATCTCAATGAACATAATTTTTTTTAGGTCACACACTTTTGGCTAGCATGAACATGTCATTTAACATGTTCATGAGGTCACAGGTCACACCCTGTGAACCTATGGTCGAAATACTACAGTATGTGAAGTGGCGCCTTTTCGTGCGGCACCATCCATTCATCATGTACTGTAGCTCCTAGTGGGGCATTACTGTAGCGTTTCAACCGTAACTTCACAGCCTGTGACCCGTTATGGTCTGAAGTTACAGTGAACAGCTTCACAGACCCTTAAATTGCCTTATTTGGATAGTCCCGCCTATGGCGGGACCTGAAATTTCCTTATTTGGAGGCTCGTGCCTAGCCAAAGTGGTCCGTGACCCGTTATGGTGTATATATAGCTTCACTTCAAAGACCCCCGTGACCCGTTATGTGAATTTGCGGTTGAAACGCTACAGTAGAACACATCGACCTGACATCCCACTTGGCATATGATTCCCTGTGGAAGGATAAGTAAAGTTAGTAAACGAACTTGAGAGCACCCCTTTAACATCATATTCACCGTACTTGATTCAACGCCCCCACTCTGTCGACTGCCAGTCGTCTCCATCCACAAACGGTAATCTACAAAGTGTTGCCCAGAGCAATAGTTATCGAGTCTCCAACAGCCAATACGTACCAATGAGAAGCGCAGTACCATGACATGCTTGAGTGGAACCGAACTTTCCACGTCGTTACTCGGCGACGACGGCACTGCAATTGAACACTTTCGTACTGCGGCTTTCGTCGTCCAATACTAACGCCACTCCGTGCGCGTGAGCAAGACGCTATTGAGACGAAATAAGCCTGAGAGTGCAAGGTGGCCTCTTGCGCCCAGCCGAAGTTTCGAGAAGATCCGACATAATATTGGACTGCACCTCAATGAGGTGATTTGATGTGATCACGAGTAAGATGCGACTATTGTAAGTAGTCAAGATAGCTGAGCCAAACATGTCGCAAAGTATTCAATCGGATGCACGCAAAATGGACAGCGTCCGATGTTGAGCAGGCATGGTGTCGCAATTCGTCCTGTCTGAAAAACATAAGAAATAGATTGTAGGCGTCGTGCTAGTTCGGAATTCAACTCACATCGTCTAAAACAACGCGTCCAGTATCGTCTGGGCGACGAGTCCGACAACTTAGTCTACGATTCACATTGTCATGTTTGAGTTCCTGTAAGTTACGAACTGCACGAAAGAGATAACGCTGGCACCAGGTGCATGATGAAAGAGTACCGGGACGAAAACTTGCGGCGCCACAATATACTTGAGAGTTCAGTAACCTAGACTGACAGCGAGGACTCAGGGACAGTTCGGCATGTACCCAGACGGGGACCATAACCCGTAGGAAAGTGACTGCAGCAAACGCACGGTTGGCTGTGAACGAGCGAGTGGAAGAGACATGAAGGAAAAGAAATAAAGCCCACGTGCTGCCAAGCCACCGATCTTGCACCGATCGGCGATCGTTGACTCGAGTCTCGGTCCTCGGAGGCCGAACATATTCAAGTTCAAAAGATAACATGCTCGCTGCATTGATTCCCTCTAGCCGACTTGAACGACTGACCTCGTCATACATGCACAAGGCGCGAAGGCTAGGGATACTAGTGACGCGCTCTACCACTGAGCTAAGAGGGATTACAGATGTCTTGAGTGTGCTCTCAAGGGTCGGAAGGTTTGGTTGGAGCCTTTCGTTTGCTTGAGCTAGAACCTCCTGGAAGAATTTCTTTCACCGGTGGACACATACTTATTTTGGAGCAGATAGCAGAAGTTTCACATTAAAAAAACTCCAAGACCCAAGCTTGGTTGGCCAATTGACAGCGGCGACAAATGTACTAATAGCAAGTTGCACATCCTTCTTAGCTACGATATCTATCAAGATGCTCCGATTATCGAAGGTCCGCGTCACACTCTACCACCCGCCTCACTCCTCCTCCAATCCTCACTCAATCTCCACTTCAACGCGTCGCGTACCGTCATCCTCGCCCCCTCACCCCCGTCTCCTCTAGTCCACACCCTGTCCGGCACCTTCCCCTTCTCCTCGGCCCCAGGAATCCCATTGAACGAGATAACACCCAATCCCTTACACGTCTCAAAAAACCTTGCCGCGCACTGTCTCTGCTCCTCATCAATGCCATCATCAACAGGATAATCCATGCGCCGTCGCGCTCGCTTGCTCCATTTATACACGAAAAGAATGAGGATCTCAAGACACGGCAGATGTGTAGCAATCAGCGTGGGCTATGGGAAGATTATTATTATCACAAGGAGGGAGACTAAAAAAAAGTAAACGTACCAGCCCCTCGATGTCCACTGACCGTCCAATCTCCAGAGAACGCAGCCCCGGCCACGCCTCCCCTGCAAACCGTACATTCTCACTCATATTTCCCAGCAGCCCTGTCCCAAAAAATACCGCCTCCGGCCGCCCCAACCCGCCACCACCCCCCCCGCAAAATATCCTGTGCCTCACCGACACAGTCTTGATCGTGGTCGGCAACCCAGTATCCAAGAACATCGTCGCAAACTGGACATGCTCCAGCCGCGGAGCGGACACCGACAAATCAAGAGTAGCATCGCGCTGCACCGGACCACGTTTCATATCGAGAGAAATCAGCCGAGGGAAACAGCGGAGCAGAAGCGCCTGCAGGCCAGGGGATTTGTGGAATATGGTTAGCTCTCGTACATTCGGGCACACAGGGAACCGCCTCCACTCGTCTTCCTCGATGAGTAATGCGTCTGGCGTGTGGATGTGCAGAGACTGCAGCGTCGATGCCGAAGACGCAATCATACGCCGGTACACGTCGAGGTAGAATGGCTCCTGCATGAGATACACCGTCAGGTGTCGCAGCGAGTTCCACAGCGGCGGAAATGTGCTAGTATGCTGTACTTCTTCGACAGGATCAAAGAGAAGGGTACTCCACTCGGCCGCGATGAGATGCAAAGTCGACACCCGGGGAAATAGACGTGCAAGCTCGTACACCCCGTGGCGGTACTCCTGCCCAGGACTGGGATCCGTCGAGCTCGGGTGTCTCGTCCCGTAACTGGGATATACCGACAGCTCGCGCACGTCTTGCAGCCAAATGTCGCCCAGAAGATCTTTGAGCCAGGAAGTTTTCTCGGCTCCCCAAGAGTCTAATGCTGGCACAGCAATATGAAGGCAATGCAGGAACTTGCTCGTACTTGGATTGGACACCAACGATGCGAGAAGCCTACACATGTAGTTTTGCAATGCCAGATCGAACGCGACTGTTCGGTCTGGTGGAGGCAGGACAACGCTTAAAGGGTCAGCGTAGAGAATGGGACGGCAGACTGTGCACATTTGTTGGGATACACGGATAATGGAGAGGAGAGCACGGCGCGGGAGGAAGGAGAGGATGTGGATGTGTAATTCAAGAGGCAGCGCTGTAAAAGGAGACGGTTTGAGATCCTTCACTTCCACTACGTCTACCGTAGGAGGGTCTGGCACCACGGGACTCGGAGGCAGCTCATCCACTTTGAACGCGGAGCAGATGAGCTCCAACTCATCCAAGACCATCTTGATAAACTCCTTCTCCCCGAACGCAGGAACTTCAGTGAGACCCAATGCCCAGTCTCTAACGGCAGCCTCGCGCATGATGGCATACCACGATACCATGAAATCAAAGCTTCGCTGAAGGTAGCGTTGTCTCTCAGCGGCGTCATAAACAGAGTCGGGATTGGAGATCCAGAAAGGAAGATGCAGCCGCTCGTCTGTGATCGTTTTGTCGCCGTCGGCGACAGCGACATGCCAAGCTCGTTGCCGTTGCGTGAAACCCAAAGTCCGCTTCTTCATGCCTTCAAAACCAGACATCGCATCAACGAGATTGACAAAGAGGTACCGAGCGATCGTCTGTGAGGCGTAGGCACCAAGCCCAGGTAATCCGTGACCTTGAATGAAAAGCGCTGAGATGCAGTTAGATACATAGATGAAAGTCCTTACCGCGCGGGCGTAGATCCTGCGATTCCGAGAAACAAACACGTGGATGCTGGGCGAGGTACAGCATGGTGGCAGATACTGGTATGGGTTTTCGGGGTAATTGAGCACGAAGATTATGAGAAAGAGGGCGTTGGCACCCCTAATCGGGCTGCCCGACATCGACCACACGCGTAATGTGGAGTAGTTCGCAACGACGCGTCCCCAAAGCATTTTGCTGATGAGGGAAGGAGGAAAGAGCTGTTCGTCATTGACAAGACCGGAGGTGTGCCAAGCGTCGGGCTTGGGGAGGACGGATGTACGTGCATTGGCGTGTTCAACGATAAGTGATACGAATGCACGAGCAAAGTCGAGAGTCGCTGCCTCTCGCGTTGCGTCGTCGGATGTCGGCCGCACTTCGAAATCTGGTTTGATGGGCGAGGGGAGTGGTTTTCCCAAATCTGTTACCACTAAAAGATGCTGAGTATAAGCACCACGATATAAAGCGAAAGAGACTCACGATGTGGTCTCCTGGGTTCAGCCGATGTTGGCTCGGGAGCGAATTGGATATGCTCTACGAGACCTAAGCAAGAGTTCACGGCTTTTCATCTGTCATTAATAATTATCTTCACCAGTCCATGGTATCTTTGATGCTAGATGAGGCGGGCTCATGGTACTTAGTCATGTTCCAGGAAGGTTGCGCATGCTGAAGATGATTGTCAACAACTGGACCGGTTCCTGGAGTACGGACGGCCGACCAGGCATCCATCAGCAAGATTCGAATCTTATGGGTGTCATACCTCCAGTGGTATGCGTGCTTTGTGCTTGGCTGGCGACTGCGACACGAGAGCAGATCTTTCATGTAGGCCTCAAATGGCAATGCGTAACTATTCGTCCGCAATTACGGCCTTTCTAAAGCGTCAATAGTGGGAAAGAACGCGGTGGAGACACACGCACATTCACTACTCTTCTGAATTCTCTGAGACTCAACGCGTCAACACAAAGAATGGTGCCAGTGATGAGCGAGTGCCATAGCTTTGATTAGCTTTGATCGATGCCGCATTTCGGCACGGAACCTCTTTTTCATCCTCTGCGCTCATCGCCTCGCCTGGACGAAAGGCCTGTACAAGCGGGTTCGTTGCCTACGACATCTCTTGCACTTGGCCAGCTTTGACTCATTGTCCGCTTTTATGACTTCCGCAATCGATACCCGCGCTTGCTACGACATTGCTGATTGGTACGTGACCGTGCCAAACTGAGGAAGGCTTCAAGGAAAGGTTAGGGTGGTGCAGTAAACCCTAGGTTTTGATACACCTCGGGTTTACTGCGGTTATTAACGGTATTGATACGGTATTGAAACTGTTGGGGGTCGGGAGGTAGGTTTCGATACAGGCACGTGATCGCTTCACGTGACGGCGGGCTGGCGTTCAGAGAAGCTGAGAGTGGCTGGAGAAGGGCGGGATGAGGGCGGCGCACCGCTGCGCCACATCACGTGGTCACAATCACGTGCTGGTATCGAAACCGTTAGAAACGGTTTCAAAACTAAGGCCTCCCGGGGGGTCGGTATCAATACCGTTACTAACACCCCCGGGAGGTTTACTGCACCACCCTAGGAAAGGTGGCTAGGGTTGCGCAGGATACCTCCCATATCGCGCCGTTTGATATTTAACCGGTTATTAACGGTTAATAACCGGGTTAATAACACCCCCGCTGGAGGGGGGGTTAATAACCCTGAGGCACGTGATCAGCGCACGGTGTCGGCGCGAGGCAGGAACAGGTGAAAGGGTAGCTAAGTAGGACTCACAATAAATGCTATTTATTAGTTAGAAACATGGCAGAACCTTAAATTGACCCTTTCTGCTCCATGGGAGTCAAAAATTTGACCTGGAACGAGAAAATGCGCCACACAGCATCACGTGGAGGTTAGTAACCGTTAATAACGGTTAATAACACCCCCAAAATTGGGGTATATCCCGCCCATGTTTTTAACCGGGCGGGGGAATATACTGCGCAACCCTAAAGGTGGCGCAAATTTAATCCCATGATGCGCAAAAAAGTCATCGAATTTTTCTATTTCCCTCTAGCCGACTTGAACGACTGACCTCATCATACCGCTGCTGAGTACTAGTGATGCGCTCTACCGCTGAGCTAAGAGGGAGCCTCCTGGCCGTGAGCACTGAGCATCAATGACTCAGAGTCATAGAGTGATATGAACATCGCATCATGCTTACCCTGACTGTACCTAACTCTCGCTGATACTTACTTGTTCACACCGTCGGACGTGAAGCATACGCTATGATTCTCTTATCATCTGCCAGGATCAGCTGAGGACCGAGGTCGAGAGACGAGAGATTAGACGTGGTCGAACCACAAGCTTGACCTGTACCAGCGCAGACTTGCAAACCCGTCCTTCCAAGCCCGCCCAAAGCGCGTCCCAGCGTCTATAACACCGACGACTCTCACGATGGTCTTTGGCTTTGGCAAAAAGTGGAATCCAGAGGGACTGGTGCGCTCCATATCATTTACTTGGAGACCTTGCTGACCCAGCCACAGCATGTCTACATCACAGGAGGCAGCCAAGGCCTTGGCCTGTCCTTTGCGACTATAATGGTAAAAAAAGGCGCCCACGTATCCATTGTCGCGCGGAATCAAGACCGCCTGACTAAAGCCGTCGAGTTGCTCAAGGTACATCGTGGTCTAATTGCGC